AATTAACTCACAGGATTTCACAGATAGACATGGTCATCTTCTTCCTTCTTGCCCTATCTTTAAAAGAACGGAGCTGGATAGAACAGAGTCACAAAACAAAACAAAACAAAAGCATGAGACCAGGACAAATAGGCCTTCAGTCCGTTGCTGCTGATACTCCATCACCAGCCCCTGGTCTTGTCTCAGCCACGACAGTGCCTTCAGTTCCACCCACAAGAAAACGAAGGAGCTTCTCAGGCCTCCAGGAATGCACCTGTCTGTCCCCACCGCCCCAGCTGCCAGGGAGTAGAGGCACCTCCTGCGTACTTACTACAAGCTGGCAACTCCCTTTGCTGTTAGGCAACTCCAAAAAACTCAACCCCAGGCCCTTTATGCCCGTGTCTCCACAATGGCCTGAAAAGTTATTTTCCACAATGAAAATTTCTCATAATTTCCCTTCCTATGTTTGGAGAAAACGTAAAAATGGTGAAAGATCCGAAAAACAAGAAGTCATCACGATGACACTCACAATGAACATGCTCTCGTAATGAATTTAGACGCTCCCCAAGTCAAAAGCAAAACCATCTCGGACACACACACACACACACCGGACACACACACACACACACACACACACCCCGGAACGTGCATGGCAGGAGCTTCCTGAGCTTCGCCCGCTCCCAGGGTCTTTCAGTTTCTGGGGATCAGAACCTGCTCTTTGCTTGAAATTACACCAGGTTAGAAATAAGAGTCAGTGGGTTAAAGGACGAAAGGGAAGACAGGGATGAGAGCATCGGGTTGAAGGCGGACCTCTCCCTTCTGCGGGCGGTCCCGAAGGTCAGCCCTGGGTACCGGGTACCGGGCACTCCGGAGCCGCACAGGGCATTGCTCCCGCGCCTCTGAGCACCTGCTGGCTCCGGCGTCGGATGCAGTTCTCCGCAGCCTTTTGGAAACGAGTCACAGACGGTGCCCACCGGTCCCTTCCTCTGGGGACCCCTCTGCAAAACGCAGAGACCCTCCGGCGTGGTGGGTGTGGTGGGCGGGAGAAGAGCGGGGCAGGTGAGGAGGGGTGAATTGGCGAAACGTTCACCCTTACAAAGCTCATTGACTCGAAGGGGCTATCTTTAGGACATTTGCGGCAGCCACGCTTCCCGCGTCCTCCTGCCCCGGCCCTGATTCTTTGATCGGCCCATATGAAAGCGTCCCCGCCACCTGACCCTGGCCCCCGCCGAGTCAAACCTGCTGTGAGAGGACACTGGGCTCCATCTGACCCGAAGGGATCAATAAACACGTTGCTTTCCACCCCCCACCCTCACCCCCCCCCCNGGTGGCAGCCTGGTGCCCGCGGCGCGCCAGCAGCACTGCACGCAGGTGCGCAGCCGGCGGCTCATGAAGGAGCTGCAGGACATCGCGCGCCTCAGCGACCGCTTCATCTCCGTGGAGCTGGTGGACGAGAGCCTCTTCGACTGGAACGTGAAGCTGCACCAGGTGGACAAGGACTCGGTGCTGTGGCAGGACATGAAGGAGACCAACACCGAGTTCATCCTGCTGAACCTCACCTTCCCCGACAACTTCCCCTTCTCGCCGCCCTTCATGCGGGTGCTCAGCCCGCGCCTGGAGAACGGCTACGTGCTGGACGGCGGCGCCATCTGCATGGAGCTGCTCACGCCGCGCGGCTGGTCCAGCGCCTACACCGTGGAGGCCGTCATGCGACAGTTCGCCGCCAGCCTGGTCAAGGGCCAGGTAGGGCCGCGGCCGCGGGGACGGCGCAGCGGGGAGCGCCCGGGGGCGCGGGGCTGCGGGGCGAGGGCGGGCACCTCGGGCCACCTCGCTCGGGCCAC